GAACAAAAATTGATATGAAAGGATAAATTAGAAAACATTACATGAATTAAAAACTGGGATTCTAAAATTAAGTTTGTTTAATAGGATAGGTGAGTCGATTCGATTATCAACGAGTTTGAACTCTTCTGTTAGCTATCATGGTTAGGTTCAGATGGCAAAGTACTGGGTTACAATTAATTGTGCGGTAAATAATAAATCAATAACCTGAAAGATGCATACTTCAGAAACTTACGTTGGATTTGTTCTTGTTGGTAGCTGTTTCTCACAGTTGTAAGGCACTAAATTACAGCTCCATAATCAAACATAAAACGCACAAACAAATAAAAAAGAATTTTGAAGGAACTGGACAGCATGAAATTATTAGAGGTATTGAGCAAGAACCTTAGCATTTTAATGGCCTCACAAGAAACTTTGTCTAAGTGAGAATTATGATTAAATAAATCAGCGATCAAATGTTATACCAAATTCATTCACAGATTCAACAGTAAATTCAATGAGGGCACCAGGTATAAATTAATTAAAATTAATAGAACAGAGATGAGGAATGAGAAAAAGCCATAAAAATGCATTTGATAGTTTCACCAAATTTTAAGGTATATCGTTAGTTATTGACTTTATTCATTAAACATTAAAGTTTTGATAAGAGGTGTGAAACAGTACAGGATATAATATTATATACAATTAAATCGTCATAAAAATAATATTATTTTTCATGATAAGAAATTAAAAATATGGATTTCAACAGTAAAATCCTACAAAATTGTCATAATAAAAAATAGAAAGTTATAATTATTAAGTATTGTAACTTATACCTATGTATTTTAATTAATATAGAAAACAGAAAAAAAAATCAAAATTTTTTTGGGATAATGAGAATTTTGTGTTTAGATAAATACTATGTGTATAAACTATATATTATAAATTAATGTGATAAATATATTTTTAACTCATGTTATATAAGTATACTATCTATGTATATATGTTTGTGCTTATTTTTAAACATAATATCGTACTTAGCATTTCGTTATCTGATTTTGTTTTAAGTAAAGAAAAGGTTATATTTTGGTTAAAAGAATGTTAATGTATTTCAACGATGGCTCTAACTGTACACATATACATGTAAAAAATGGCTTTTATACATTTTTCTTTTAGAATATTATTTAGAGATGATTAATAAATAACAAATACGGGCTGAAGTCATAATAAAATTTAGATATTTTTCTGATTAATTATAAACTGTTTATTTTAAATACTCTAGATTGTCTTATATATTATGATGGAATTAAAATTATTACATAGAGAATTTACACACTAGGTGGTTCAATTGCACGCGCCTACGTTTTTAAAACTTCACGATTAATCGCTCAAAATAATCAAACTTGTAGTTTTATATGGGTGTATGGGTTGTATTTACACCCGTAAAAGAGACGCGTGTTTGGTCGTATCGAGTAGAGCAGGCTTAATTTTTAGAGTTCGGTCGCGATTTTCAGTTATATTTAAACATTATTCTTCCAATGTAATTTCAGTGCATTCTCGGCGTTGCAATACACAAGGATAATACAAACGTCGCAATTACCCGCGCGCTTATTTAAGTTCATTCATTATTTGTCTTTTGTCGTTTTGAGACGTAGTTATTTAGTATACTTAAATATTTGTATATTTACAGCGTTAACGTATTTTAAAATCGTTAAAAATAAAAAAGTGTCAAAAAATGAATTTATATGAAATATAGGTACCGTTTATATACGTATAAAGTTATTTGAAGTTAGAATTTAACTAAATTGGTTCTTCTGAATATGTATATTATCATGAAATACTACAGGTGAAAAGTCGAGCATCATAATATTACAAATTAAATTATATTACATAGCATAAGAAAATTTAAATTATTTAATTTTTAATGCTGACGGAGAAACTTATTAGATATTAGAAAATAAGAATTATATACCTATAACTCATAGTGAAGATATTTTAAAAGTTATATAAAAATAAAAAAAAGTGAAAATTTAATTATAAAATTAAATGCCTTAAAAACATGATATAATATAGTATATATTTTTTATTCATATTAATATTTATTATTTTGTACGGATCATTTTTGGTTTAACAAATGCACAATTAAATTTTACGATGCTGTATTATTAAAACGAACTTACAATTAATTTTAATTTGATTGATGATTATTTCATATTTAAATTATATAATTGAAAGTAAAGACTTATTATTTGAATTCTATGATATTTTTAATGGAATTAAAAACATGAATGTCTAATTAGTTAATATAGGAATTTTTAAGCAATGGACATGATTTATTGAAACTTACTTTTTACGTATTATTATAATTGATAGTTATAAAAATAGATTCACATCGTGAAGTTTCCGTAAAAGTTATGAACCCTTTTCAAACTTTTTTTATACACTTGCTAACAGATAAATTAATAGAAAATGTTTTCTACGATGTTTTAATGGGGTAGTAGTTATTTTTAACAATTGAAAATAATCTTAAAATTTATCATAAGATTGATTTAATTAAATTCTCGTGAATATTTTTTTATTTTACTTTATTTATTACAAAATTAAAAACAACTTATGAAAAACCATGTTTTATATTTTCAAACATTTTCACCGTGTACATTTTTTTTTTATTAACATTTAAACAAGAAATAATTTAAATTTAAATTGTTTATACATAGAGGTCAAAAAGTATCAAAATATTTTGAAAAAAATTCCATTTATGAAAAATTATAATTTTGAAAAGTCCGTCAGAACAAATGCATGTTTTTTAAAATAATGCTACGCCAAAAGTAATTGCAATTAAAAAAATATTTTACCTATCAAAAAATGCAGAAAAGTATGCAGCATTTTTATTGCAACAAAATTAAGGTTTTAAAAATAATGTCAGTCATATGAGCTGCAGTGCACGAATCCAGGCGCACCGAAATGATACAATCGTTTCGGTCAGCATCTGTTCCGGGACTTTTCTCACAGCTCGTTTGATCTTGTTCTTCAATTAATTAAGGGTTCGTGCCGTTCGTGGCTTTTGTTGATAAACTTTTGATTTTAAGTGACTTCCACAAGAAAAAACTCATGTTGTCAGGGGAACGAGGAATCCATGGAATATTCCTAAAGCGCGAAATGAGACGTTCAGGGAATATTTTGCGAAGAACTTCCATTGAGACACAAGTTGTGTGTGATGTTGCCCCACATTGATGAAACCGTACTTTTCTGACATAGAAACAACAGCGTTGAAATTCAGGAAAAAAAAGGTTAGCATTTCGGTGTAACGCTCTGAATTCAGTGTTTGTTTGCCCATTGTTCTCGAAAAAATAAGGGTTAATAATTTGACTGATGTTATTTTCAGTACCTACTTAAATTCTATTATTATAAAAAAAACTGCATAGATTTCTGCATTTGATGTAATGACATTTTTTTCACTGTAATTAATTTTGGCATAGCATCATTTTGAAAAATTTTCATTTATTTTGACGGGCCCTTTATAAACATTTAGTGAAAATTGTAAGTTTCTATGGTTATTTGTTTTTGAATTATAACAAAGTAAAGAAATTAATGTTGTCTAAAACTGAGTAAGTGTTAAGATTAACGTTTCTCCTTAGTTTTTTTCCCAATTTTTAAGAAAAGTGTAAGGAATTTCTTACTTTTTATTCTAAAGTACCAACTAGATCGAACATGGTAGGTAGTACTAATCTTCGTATTTGTATTGCCCCAAATTTGATGACAAATATAAAAACAAAAAATACACACACGTTATAAAATCTCTATATTCACCGGATACTAAAATATGTATGATTTAAAATTTTACTGTTTATTAAAGTTGGAAGAAAATCGATATGATATACGCGGTTTAGTGCAATAGGTAGCATAAATATTTATTGTAATAAAGTCATACTCACAACAACTCAAATATTTCATTGGATAAATGCATAATACTATGAATAAGTAATATTATAACGACCACGCGTTTAAAAAAAATATTACTAACTAAAACAAAACATTTTCTATACAATAAAAAATTATAGTACGTTAAAAGTGGCAAATTTTTAGTTATTCTATTGTTAATAATCGTAATTACTCTGATCTAATAATTTAATTTTTTTTAATAGCTCGAACTAAAATTATCATACACTCAATACTTATTTTTACTATAATTTTAATTTATACCAATAGTTGTTTCTATTAGTCTGTCACTTAAATTAAACAGAGACGAATCGTTTGTATTTGAAAAAAATAATTACGTTAACATTTTATACGAATATGAATTGCACGCAGTATTTTATTTATCAAAAATAACTCGTTAAACGATGTGTTAAATCGGAACATTTAAAGAGAGCTGGAGCTTACTGCGAAATTGTCCAGTGTGTCATCTAATCTAGCAATAATGTGATGGTGCGGGTAAATGATATGTTTTATTTCACTGAAAATTAGCGGCGGGAGATTGTCTTGTATTCATTGAAAAAATGTTTTGAACGTTGATGCACTCGAAGTACGCGTGTCATTGCGATCAAACAACATGATTTTAAACAGACCAACCACTCGTGTCTTACAAATCACACGTTTTCGTCTGGATTAATTACGAAATTGCTGCGGTGCATCACGAACTCGCCGGCATTGCCCCTTCCGCCCACCGGTTGCCGGCAGTGGCGTGGTGTTAATACTTACTATCCGTCCGATTCCGGTGTCCCGTTTCGTTTACATTTGCCGCCGGCGCAGACGATAACGGACCGAGGAAGACGACAGGGCATGCAGACGTTTCGATTAGCCGACTACAACGGTGACGCAACCGATTTTCGGGATACCTGCGGTAATAGGTAGGTTGTGCACGCGACGGCGCTGTGGCGTCTGTAAGACGCTTGTCATAGATAAAGACCAAATATATTGTAAAATGAGCCAATTATTCGTCGAGATTAGATCATTTTTTTTTTTTTTTTTTGGACGTGTTGCGCTTTGCGCGTGCAGTCGTCGTCCCCACCCGTGCGGCTATCCGCGTACAACGTACAATGCATATGCCGTCAGTGATTCGTTTGCATCGACTATACCTGCCGCACCAGCAGACCGACCGAATTATATAAAACAACTGCAACACAATAACATTACATTATTATATCATATAGGATCGTTCCGACTGTTTCATCGGCGGACCGTCTTCGAACGCAATACCCAAATATAATATAACACATACGCACACACTCACTTATTTTATATAATATTAAATTAGACAAATTTCAAACGTTGTGTTCGTTAGGACGGTCGATCGCAGCTTTGTGCAGACCGTCAGTAATATACACACGACATACACATACATACGTACGAGGTGTACGTTCACCGCCCGCGCTTAATATGGACCCGAGGAGACGTAACAATAGTTATTTGGTTTTCGCGTGCACGCTGGCCTTGGGTTTTCTCATCTGTATGCCCGTCACTACTCATTCGTTGATCAGAGGTAATAATATCATTACGTACAATGCTTTACTTTCGGTTAATTGGTAAAGCCGACAAGTCAGAGAATTTATATGTATATTTATTTATTCGTTTATTTAGTTTTAAATGTGCGCTTAATAGTTGTTTATACCTATGCATAATTATTTTAATTTCGTTGACGCGGTAGGGAAAACAATAATTGTTGATTATTTATGTTTAGTCGATTTTTATTTTTATTTTTAGCAAAACCACGTGAAATGCAAATTTTAGTATATAAAGTAATCAAAATATATGATATATTTACTGCCCCTCGAAACACGTATATTTTGATTTATGGATTAGTTTTAATGAGTTGAGAAAAAAATGTTAAATTTAAATTTACGCGAAATTTGTACCAATTTTGTTATTTGTAAGGTATACATAGTGTTTAAAATGATTATTTTTATAAAAGTTGTTAAATGTATCATTTTATTTCAATGATTTATTAAAATACATTTTCGTCATTACACATTTTATATAATATAATATACGTTACAGTATAAAGTATACCTATACGCTAAAATCTATGAATTGATCTAATTTTTGTTGACCCTTTTTTTTTTTATTTTACGTTCTTTATTTGTTTTATTACTTTCCATACATTTGACTGTGCTAAATTATAAATATTTAATACGTTTATATAAAAAAGAAAATAATACATTTAATAACTGTACATTTATATGTTACAAACTATAAGTAATTTTATTGAATTTTTAATTTTAAAAACATTAATTTAATTTTAATATTTTTGGTTGACAATGAATACTGTATAAATATGGTATCTATTTCAATAGTGTTGTTAAATTTAATATTTTAAATTAATTTTATGTTTTGATAATAATACAATAATTAGTAATAATAATAATTAAAATTTAACCTTTTTGGTCAGCCATCTAAAAATACTAAAAACCTTAAGCTAAAGGATACATAATTATTATTATTAAAATTAATAAAATTGAATATTTGACATATTTTGTGATTATTTAATTTTAATTTTTTGAAAGTATATAAGCAGCATAAATTGCCTATACAAAATTCCTTAAAAATAATTTAAATTAGCTATACTATCTATATAATAGTATTCAAATTTTTACTGACTGGTAGATTTATTCAAAATAAATCAAAATAAATAGAAATTGCGAAAAATAATTCATATTTATTTCTTAGCTCAAACATTCAGACTTTTATCAACGTTGGGTAATTTTTTTATATTTTTATTTTTTTGAATAATAGCGTGTATATTTCATTTTATATTCTAGAGCAGAAAGTTTTTTAGAATATTTCGATACATTAAAATTGAAATTCGGACGAGTAGTTAACAAGTTATAGGTATTTAATGTTTAAACGATTAGAGTGCTATGCAGAGATACTTTGAAAAATTTTGGTCTACTACTCTGCTCAAAATATATTAAACATATTATAATATAATATATCTTATAAAAATTTTGTTTTATTTTAACTGAAAATTGTATAAACAAAATAATATATTTTGATATAATGAGATAGTTGTTTGCTAAAAGAATCATTAGGTATGTTATTAATTTTGGATAAATATTAATTACTGATTGTTCATTTTGTAATATTTTGTTACTGAAGTAGTTTATAACATGTTACGTAAATAAATTTTATCTTTCTTAATAAAAATAAGTAATGTATTTTAAATCTCTAACCCCAATAAAGATATTTTATAAATTCAAATAATATTTTATTAAGCTTCAAAATAATTAAATATTATATTTTAATCTAAGCATTTTTATTTTAAATGTAATAATTTGTTTTTAAGTTTCTCAGAAAATGTTTTTATTCTTTTAATACATTAATTAATAAAATTGCTTAAATTTGTTGTTACTAGATTCACATAAATAACCATATTATTATTATTTTTTATATTTTAAGCATTATTAATTTATATGATAAAAATAATATTGTTCTTGGTTAATTGTTATATTGTAGGAACTACTATGATTACCTTTAAAAAATTTTTAAAATTAATTAATACATTTTGAGTATAGTCATAGGTTTTACGTATGCCTAATTTTAAATTAAGAGTGGAGCGATTAATGTATTGATTTTATGATGATGAGTGTGTGGTTTTTAGTGTTTGTTATTACTTTTTAGAGCAGTAAAAAATATGCTTTAACTTTAAATTTTGGAGGTGATTTGTAATAAAGAGTTGGATCTAATAACTATTTTTGGTAGTCATAAGTAAAAAGTCCACAGTATTTTTTTTTAATAATTAGAAAAAAAAACAATTATGAAAAATCAGGGATTTTTATGTTTATTCAGTTTTTGGAAACATTGATTTTTTCATTTTATTTTAATTAAAGATTGAATAACAGTAGAAACTTGAAGTTTTTACCAACTGTTTATTTTTTCATTTTAAAGACATAATAGAATTTTAAAAATATTTTGATGCTTTTTAAGCTATTTTATATATCTAAAAATATTAATGCTGTGAATTGTTGTATACATTTAGTAAGATAACGGTTTTATTATAAAATACATTCATATGTTGTTAGAATTTTTAACATACAAATATTATTGTGGATGTACAGTTGGTGTGCATAAGTAAATTCAATTAAATATTTTTATGACCTATATTTTATACATTGTACTTGAACGAATAATACAATAATAAATATCAATTAAAAAACAAAAAAAAACAAAATTAAATACTTATAATAATAAATATAATAAAGTTAATCTTCATTGTTGTCTTGATAGTTCTGAATCGTGTGCACTACGTATCTACACATCAATTGCGATTTGTATAGTTAACATACAAAAGAAATGTATTCTATGCAACAGCTTTATATACTTTGTACGAGGTGTAGTGTATAGATGTAAAAAGTTAAGCAACTCGACCTGTTACCTTTTACACTGACACATACTAATCGTCTGTTAATATCTATTATATTTTTACTGTGCATAACAACAAAAAAATAAATAGTACAATGACTTGTTTTTGTAGTTGGTTAAAAAAAGAAAATCATTTAAAACATCAAATTGTTCTGAAAACGTTTTCGTCGATAGTAAATAATAAGTTATTTTCTTTGTTATCGAGTAAATTTTATTGATTTTACATAATATTGTTATGATTTATGGTTTTTAAGATTATTTTAGCTATACAACTCGTATTATAATACTTTAATTGTGTCGGTAATAAATGCCAATAAAACAATTAATAATAAGTTTATACAGGAATATTGACATGTCTATTGTGGATATAAAAAGTTTTTTCCGTATTATCTATTTCATATTATACCTACTGTTCAACAATCGTGATTCAATTGCTGGAAACCGTAAATGCTGAACTTTTGTAATTGATTCGTTTGGAGCTCTGCGTCTCCACTACCGAAACAAAACCCGCGGAGATGCTATATCGCATAAAAAACGATTACTGCTGTGATTTTGAAGTAGCAAAAAAAAAAAAAAAAACAAAGAAAACTGCCATGACCGATTGGCCACGCAATACAATATATAATATAAAAGCCATAACTGATAGTTTCCCGTTGGAATTCCGGCCCAAAGCTCTTACAATACGAATCATTATGTACATATATATATTTATTTCTAAAGCTCGATTGCTTAGCGACGCTTTTCACTTCCGCCCTACTCGTTTTGTCTTTGTAATACATTAATGGAATATCGTGAACCCCCGAGTTGAGAGTGGGTGCGTACGATCAAGATAAATCTTTTAACGACGGCCATGGAATACGGAAACAAATTGTTGTCACTTATAATGTCTTAAGGGCGACAGATTTATTCCAAAAGGAATAGATAAAAAAAAGAGGATAGAAGACGACGGGTAAAACGTACACAACTAAAATAACAAATACTTTTAGTTTTGTACCATTTGAAAGAGATCGTTTTCAAAACAAAAAAATAAAATATAAATAATAATAATAATAATAATAATAAATAAATAAATAAAATAAGGAAGAAAAGTATTCGTCTTGCTTAGTAACTATAACGGCAACAACCTATACTTATTTCTATACGTTATGTACAAGAAATTGTTCTTATAGTAAAGTGTCATAAAAAAATATATACTTTGATCTTGGAAATGTTTACACCTCAAACTGACCATAAATAAACGTGTTATATTTATATAGCTAATGTACTATTGGCATTTTTATATTTTTAAATAGATAATTGTTTAACCTAATGATTAAAAAAGAAATAATTATAAGGATGATTATGCATAATAAAATTATTGATAACTTTTCATTGTTAACTAATGATTACAACTTTTTTTTACTTATCAAGATTATATTTTTATTTTTTTACAACGTATGTTATTTGAAAAAATAATTTTTTTTTTTTATAATTGGGTTTTGTGATGCTATTAATTTATGTCTATACATGTATAATGTATGCGCGTTTTTCTATTTTTCCAATTTTTCTGTTATTATTGGGTTTTTTTTTATATAAAAGCACAAAATAATATCATATGGAAATCGTATAAATATATTTTTTGATCGAAAAATCTACAAATAATGTTTTAGAAAAGGTAGAAGGATCAGTTTTTAAAAATATTATGATAAAGTATCAAAAAACCTGTGACATTATTGCGACATAAATTTTCGATAAAAAGCCATTTTGATTATATTATTGAAATTCATTCATTTCAAATTTTTCACAACTATTTAATTTATTATCTTAAACACATTTTTTCAACTATTTATTACCTCAATAACATACAATTGAAATGTTTTTATGCTCTCTAAGTAAATAATTCAAAGAATAAATTTTTTTTCTGGTTTTATTTTATTTTAAATTTGCATTTTGAGATTTAGAAGATCCGCGAATGAAAAATAATTAAAATTAATATCATGTTAAATACACATTATTTTAGTAAAGGATTCAAAGTGTCTTTATAGGAATGTCAGTATTAAACGTGGCTGTAATATTTAAGTTTTAAAATTACGTTTAATTTTAGTTTAATTAACGTTGCAGTATATTTATTTTTATAATATTGCAACAGTTCCAATAGGCTCATTTTGTTATTTTTGTACAGTTATGAACAAAATTACTGTTCTATTTAAAATTAACGTTTTGATTCAATTTTATTGAGTGAGTGAAAGTAACATAAAATATTTATGTTTTTGTTGATAATTAATATATTTTATAGTCTAAGGAAAATGGATATCTAAAATGAAAAAAAAAATATTATGATAGAAATGTCAGTAATATTATTGTCTAATTTATTACGGTTATTATTTATTTATTTTTTTAATGAAATGGTTGGTTTGAGGTTTGAATGAATAAAAGTAATAATGATAGACGTCTATCATTTGCAATTATTTTCACTTGTTAAATAAAGATAGTATAATGATTTAACGATATGTTTATAAATGTTTTAAAAAAGTAAACAATTATAATTTATTTATTTTTATATTTGAAAATTGTGAAAAATTCGATATTAGTGTATAATTGATTGATGTTAAAAGTATTATTTCATATAGGTAATATAAAATAATGATCGTTGATTAATTTTTGTCCTAAACTGTTATTTAAATATTTTAATAATGTGCATGTGAAATTAATAATTTTACTATTATATGTCTCTTCCATTTATCTAAAATTTGTTTCTGTGCGATTCATCAAAAATATTTTTAAATTGTATATCATAACCATCTCGTATAAACAGATTTTATTAAAAACGCCTTCATGAAAAGATTGTTTAAAGTTGCTATTTCAATCTTGAAGATAAAAATTTATAATAACTTATATAAATATCTATGGATTTTCAATGTTTTTAATGGTATAATTAAGAACTACCTAATACAATTTTTATGTGTTTAATTTTTATACTAAAAAAATGTGAAAAATGCTCATTTATTTTTTAAGATATGTGTTAAATAATAAATTGTGTAGCTGTACACTGTTTAATAGAATCAAAACCAAATATGTTATAGTTTGTGTTAAATATAAAATAATTATTATTTGTCGAACACAATAAAATAACTGGCAATATATTACTGCTTTTGTTTTAATTACCATTAAAGGTAATGTGATAGACCATTAACAGAAACAAAACTAATTATACTTGATGTCCGTAGGTATAATAATTGCTATAGACCTTCTTGATTTTCGATAATATTACCCAATATTACGTTCAAGATAATTATAACGGTCTATGCAAGTGTCTTTGGTTATTAATTATTGTAATATAATATGCACAAGTAGGTAGATAGTAAAAATCAAGTATAATATCTGATTAATACAGTTAGTGTGATTAGATGTAGCTTTTGTGTATTACTAAATCATCAAATTATAATATTGATTGATGCACAAATATTTACTTAAATCCTTTATAAAATTCTGTATATATTGTTAAATAATTTTAAGGACGTAACTTACTATACTATTTGAATTTAAAGACTTGTAATTAGATTTTTTTTTTAAACGGTAAAACAAATAGTTATTACTAATTAAATTATATAATATGAATTTTTGAGTCGATTCATCTATTTTTTTTATATTTTATACCTGCAGGTGACTGTTTCTTACCACCAGACGAAGGTAATTGTGGAAATCGATTGACTTTGAGAGTAAAATACTACTTTGACTCAAATAATGACGACTGCTCAGAATTCCTTTACTTCGGTTGTGGTGGCAACGATAATCGATTTGATACATTCGAAGAATGCGAAAATGTATGCCTATTTAATAATGGGTTTTAAAATAAGCCATCTTCGACTGGATGTTCTATATTGGCAACCAATGTTTTACAATTGTCAATAAATGCCATGTGAGTCACCATAATGAAGTTTTTCAATTAAATAGTTTGAAAAATAAATCACTTATTTTAGCTTTTATTCGTAGCGTCATTAATTTGGTACGTTTATCAATATAATAATACTAATCATCTGTAATTAAAACTGTTTTGCGAGCATACTAATTAAACTTAATTTTAAGACGGAGAAGTATTAAGCACAGTGTAGTCTATAACGTATTATTACGTATTTAACATTGAATCGATAAGGAGTTATATTATGTGAACGTCATAGGCATGCAGTAGACTAGTTATATTTCTAGTTGTTCATAATAAAAGGTAGACGAAAATGAGATATCACGTTAACAGTTTTAAAGGGAAAAAAAATTAATTATTAAGTGAAACAATATTCAATTATTTATTTTTGTTTTGTTCGAAAGAACTCAAAGGTCACTGTTAAATTTGTATTTCATTGAGCGAGAAGATGGGTAATACATACACAACGCACGCTTGTCATATAACTATTTATTTTTTTAACTCATTACCGATTATTTGCCAAATATGCATGACAATATATAATAATAATAATATAATGATTCCTGAATATCCTAACCACTATAATCAATAAACTCCTGTTAATTATCATACATTTTCGATTGTGTGTACTTTTCGGATTTATCGTACGATAAATCATATTGTAATGTGCGTGTTATGTGATTCTATATCCACATTCCTGTGGATTATTATTTTAAGTTAGAATATTACGCACTTACGGTCCTCGGATTTTATATCACCGATCACTCGATATATTTTCGATAATATGTCTCACAATATTACTTTTTTTCTCCCGAACACATGCACTATGCCTGATACATAATGGTAATATTTCAAAACGACGAGTGAACATTGTGTGATCAAATAATCTGTGATATTAAGGCAATGATCATAGAAATTATATTTAAGATTACATGATATTTTACTTCGTTTGATATCGGAAGAATTTATTACGCAGGTATATATTTTAGTGAGTTATCACCACGAAAGAACAAAAACCATTAAATCGTTAAATGTTTGTTTTGGTTTTTAATATTCAATAGGTACCTAGTAAAAGAATGGCACTTGGTGAAATATAAATTCATTTTTCGTGTCATTTATGTGATGTTCATATTGTATAGGTAAATTTTAAACGTATATATTTATTAACTTTTTAATTTCTTATTTTATTTAATATGTCTAATATGATATCAATTTATTATTTTTTACAAAATACTACGCTATACTTCTGCTAGCCGATTTTAAATATTTGGCGTGGAAACGCTTTTAATTCTAGCCTGACAAATATTGAGTAATTTTTGTATGTGTTTGTATGTGTGTTCACTGTGAAATTTCTGTGCTATGTAATATAACTCAATATTACGTACTTGTCAAGTAAATTTTGTATTTTTGTTACAAATATAATTTCAAATAAAATAAAATGCCTAACCTACAGAACTTGCCGTATTTTTATGGTTGTTGTCACCTTTTATTTTTTTTTACATAATTGATAGTTATTTTTTAATTTATTTAAAAATTAACAGGCATTAAGAAATAAGAATACAAATTGTATACATTTTATTGTAATTTCATTAATTTAAAGTAATATTGAAAATAATATTAATATATAAAACTATATTTTTCAGATACCTACATGGAATATGAAAATATCAAGACTTTTTGTTTTAAGATATTGGGAAGACCATTATATAAAACATTATAAGATATGTATTTATAATATTTGAATAGTGAAATTTTAATAAATATGTTAGAATAAACAAATTAAAATAATAACATATTGTAATATAATGATTTAAGTTATAATATTTTTTTATTAAATGCTATAAAAGCATTTGTAAATTTGAATCTGTATTACTTTTTAAATTTGTATTTATATAAAATAAACTACAAAAAAAACAAACAAAAAGAAATATTTTACTTAATATGTAATATTATTTTATATTTATTTCAGATGATTTTATATGCAATGTTTTACATAAAATGTTATGTTTTAAAATTAATTCGTACTCAATATCTACGTTTTTTTCGTAATTTGTATTGGAAGTTCACACAGTGTCTTGTCCTGTTTTTTTTTTTTTTTACAAGATTTAGGTTTTTAGTCGTGTAAATGCAGAAAACTTGTATGGTTCAAGGCTTGAAGACTTTAATGGCTAAACTTAAAATTTTTATATGCATACCTATTCTTAGTTGAATGTATTTTAAATATTTTAGCTGTGGGAGGTAAGAAATTAAGTGGACCTTTACGAAAAATGATTGAAACAACAACAACGGAAATCAATCATGTCGTTTTCGAAATGATAAAACTATATCCGGGATGAAGAGGGAAAAAAATAAATAAAAATAATTTTGACGGCTGTAGATTTATGAGGAAACACGTCGTGTAGTGCAGAGTGATAAAACTGTTTGACTGGAACGGTATCAAGCAGATGGCAAGATCGTTTCATATATTTTTTCTTCACTTTTCTCCTCTTACTTGTGGCACTACATCACCAGCATTTACCCACTTGTGATTGATGACTTGCGGTTTTTGCGAAATATTATTCGCTTTAAAAATAAAATATATTCATCCGTGCCCGCTGACAGCTCTAAGTGTATACGTGCTCAAAGACAAGGCTTATCGTTTCTCCTGTTCATACGTGCACGGACAGCCCAATGATAATACTATGTGTAACAATGAGTGCGAAATTGAAATCTATTTAGTTTGTTGGAGAATAAGTGGAAACAAAAAAGTTGTGTGGAATTCAATTTTTACGTATGGCTATAAATAATTTAAATCAATAAATTACAATTTATGATTATCATAACTTTAATTTTTCTTTGAAGTTTGTCATTGTTATATCATTGATTTTATTAAAATAAATCGTCGTAAATAAATAATCTTTTATCATCCGAAGATAAGTTTATACATTACTGTATATTATCAATAATTATTTTTATTTATTTAATTATTTGAATAATTAAAATATTTAGGTGTCTAATTAAGTTATAGTAAAAATAAATTTTGAAAGTTTGTATCGAAATTCTTTTTTAAAATTGTTCATTGTTTTTGATATGTTATGAAAATGCGATTAAAATATTTCTTGATAATTATTTTATTTTATTCTTTTATAATTTGTTATTCATGCTTATTTTTATCAGTATGTATCACTATCACTTATAAATAACTTATAAGAATTAAATCGCCTTTTATTTATTATTAAAATAGATTTGAAGTTATGATTTATGAGTTAAATTATTGTCGAAACATAATATAAAGGTTTTTTTAAAATAAAAATGATACATTTTAATACATAAAAATTATGTTAAATATGTTATTAACTCATTCATAAGATTTAATTTATTAAAACATTACGATCAGAATTAATATTAAATAAGCTTTATTTATTCTTATTTCTGTTTGGTAATATTTTTATAGTTCAAGAATTTTTATTTGTATCATAATATAATCTCATATTAAAAACAGTCATCAATTTTAATACGTGGTTATATTCTATTTAAAATGTATTGTGTTCATAATAAGGAATTATTGTTTTACTAATATTTATATTAAAATAATATGAATACTTCTAGTCTTTTTTAGTTGTTTTCAACTTATTTGTTGTTATGTTAGTTATAAATACATGTTAGTGTAAGTATTCAATAAAAAAAGATAATAATAGATTAGAGTGTGACGTGTATAATACGAATGTATATGGTCTCTAATGCGTGTGTGTAGGCCACTAAATACAATAGAAAGTTAAATTAAAATTAAATTCATAATAATTAAACAAGGTGTATTTTAATGATACATTTATGAAAGATTATAGTTTTTTTATAATCTATAATAATAATAATTAATATATTTATTTATTTATATTGTTGTTAATCAGATACATATCTAAATCAGTACAGTAATATAAAGTAATCAATATGTGAGTTATTATATTATATTTTTACATAATAGTATTTTAAGTATGGGGAAAAACACATTTTTAAGCCTAGTATTTTGCTTATATCTTATTGAAATATTATAAATTGTCTTTTTTTAAATGGAAAATGTTTATTTTAGTTGCAAAATATCAATAATTCTTTACCTGAATATTATTTTCTTATTGCATGAAACTCTAATATAATATGAAAATATAATAATTTAAAATATAGTTGTGGACAACGGATAGGGAGAAATAATATCTTTACTATTTTTTTTGATAGCAATTTTCTGCGGTTCTACTTTTTTAAAGGTGTAGACAATACAATCTGTTACACTATGATTTTCGTTATTCTTTGGTTAGGTTGATCATCCTAAATGTGGATCGTTTGTTACCAAAACTATCTCTTGCCTGAACCTCTTGAATTACTCAAATATTTTAACTCAAATTAAAGCAACATTTTCAAAAGGTGTTTCAAGAATTTTTGTGATTTTATGGTTTAGTTTAACGATTTAATTATAAATTATCACTCGATAACGATATTGACGTGTTACTTATGAGTTATTGTAAAATATAATACAATATAATTTGTGCGTCTTTATTAATGAAATATTATGGTAATTAATAAATGTTTGCATTGTAACTTGTTTTCGTCCGTAACAAAGTCAATACTTAAAGCACGAATTTTATACTTAATTACATGTTATAAGCATAAATATATAGTTACCACGTCTAATTCAATTATTGAATTAGACTTTTTTTGTGGAATAATTAACATTAATTAACATTAATCAATATTATTTTATAGTTACAGTTGTCTGTGTGTTTTATAATATGTTACTTAATGAGTAATGAATTAATACTTTAAGACGAAATTATTATAATACATGGAAATAAAGATAAAGATTATAAATAAAACTTATTTTAGATCGACTAATATCATAGATATTTTTAATTTGAATGAACCAAAAGTTGTTTATTATCAAAAAACTACAGTAAAGAGTCAATATTTTTATTTTTTTTTTTTGAAAAATGTTAAAAAATAAAGATTTATGAAGACGATTTCCTGTATAGATGGTTTCAATTGTTTCTCGTCGTTGTATGCTACTGTAATAGATATTTTTATTTTAATTCAATAATACAAAATTATACTAAAAAACTAAAAAAAAAAAATCAATTTTGTGCACGAAGACTGCAGTTTATTAGTTTAAATTCCTAAGAATATTTTATCATATATTTATGTTTCAATGATAAATTGTTTATTTTTTTATCAGTTATACAGTGGGTTGAACTATTATTTTTTTATTTATTAAGATAAGTCCGGAAAATGGAATATTTACTGTTATTTGTTTCTATAATTTAATGATGAAAAAAAATACAATAATTTTTGTATATTTGTTGTTATTCAAATAAATTAATTATACTACAGGTTTATAAGTATATTTATTACAAGTAAACAATAAAATTGATTTTGTTAAAAATTGTTGTTGCGTGAATTCATAATTTTGTAGTTCTGATTTTCTGTAAATTATATTTTTAGTATTTTTTGATAATTTAGAAAAATACTTTTAATTATGCCTTTCTAATTGCCAGTAACTAGATACGATTTAACGAAAGTTAAAAACAAAACATTTTTTTTTTCTATATAAAGTGTTTAGAAAAAAAACATGCACATTCATCGTAAAACCAAAAAAGTCAACGCTTCGCTAGGAATTTAATAAATAGATAAAACAGTTTTATTTTTTGAATTAAGCTTGACAATTCAATTAATGAATTAGGTCTTCTTTAATACAGTTTTAACTATAGAAAGACAAATATTATAAACACTTGGCGCCAAGTTATTGATTTTTACAAATAAAAAGTCAAATAGTTCAACAATAACAATTATTATAAAAATATTGTACAATTGTTAAAACTGTCAATCATAATAAATCCATACGTATTATAATATTATATTTTATATTTTATACACTTTTTTATGTTAAGTTTTAAGTTTCTCATTTAACTTAACCATACCATTAATCATTGTATATTTGAATAAATATGTGTCAATTTTTTCATAATATATTTTTATTGATTAGATCCATTTTCTAAAGTAGTTTGATTACGGTAGAATAATGCATGAACTCTTCTTTTTTATGAGTTACCGTAATTAAAGCTCTCCAACATTATAAATATAAATAAAAATTAAATATAACATTAGTATTATATTGGAAAATATCGTGTTTTTTCAATAAGTATTTAAGTATGAGAATAATAAATTCTAATGGTTAATTGTACTGAATTAAGTATACGCTGAATAATTGATACGATTTTAATTTTGCTTATGAAGACTACGCGAATTTAAAATATATAGTTTTGGAATTTTTTTGTATCGGTTTTGACCATAACCTTACTAATTACCATGGTTCCAAATTGTCTTTCACTTTATTTTTGTGGTTAATAGATAAATGAATAATTTTAATTTATGTCTTCGTATATCGTAATAAAGTTCATTATTAATAATATTATACATTATACTAATGAAATTGTATTATGATATTTTGGAAATATTGATTTTAATGATTGTACAATCCAGTTGAACGTATATAGTAAAATGTTGACAGAAGCGTTAAAAATGGTACTAATTATATTAACAACTATTTACAATTTAATATAGTTATTTCGATTAAAAAAAAAAAATGAATTAATCAAACTATCTGTGTAATTATGGTAAAAACGAAAATGAAAAGTTAAAATATGAAAATGATTTAAAA